CTCACATTGATGTTTCTTTCTCTCTCTTCCCCCCTTTCCCTCCCGCTCTATCTGAAGATAAATGCAAAAATGTCCTCGGGTAAGGATTAAGAAAAAAAAGCTGGGTGCGTGTATAGAATGGAATCCTATGCAGCTGTAAGAAAGAGAGATCTCTTACCCTTTGAGACAACTTGGGGAGACCTGGAGAGTATTATGCTAAGAAAAATAAGCCATTCAGAGAAAGACAAATATCACATGATCTCACTTATATGTAGAATCTAATGAACAAAATAAACTGACTAACAAAATAGATTCAGGACATGGAATTAGGAAACAGACTGACAAACCTCAGAGGGAAGAGGGATGGGGGGAGGCAGGAAGAGATGAACAAAAACTTACATGCACATGTGCATCACCCATGGACACAGGCAATAGTGCAGTAAAGGCTGGGGCGGGGGAGCAGGGTGGAGGGTGTCATGGGGGGAAAGAGGAACATCTATAGTACTTTCAACAATAAAGATAATTTTTTAAAAAACTAAAAAATTTTCCATTTTTTTAAAAAGGTGCCATTTTGTTAGACCAGTGCCACCTAATGGTGAAAAGGACAATCTGAAGCTCTTGGGAGAGCGGGTGGATCTGTTTTCCTTTATTCTATCCTTTTAGTGTAATTTTCAGGAATGTATTGAAGCAAAAATGTGGAAACAGCCACATTTATATTTTCTCTGATTCCAAAATATATAGTTATAAAAAATACATACTAATAAAATGGTAAAGTGTTTCAAAAAAGGCGCAGGATCAAGTAAAACCAGCTAGAAGAAGAAATCTGAACCAGGTAAAAACCCTATTTAAAGCAACCCTGTTGTGGTTGGTTTTTACTGGTAAAGTGGAAAAATCTTTTTGTGGCAGGAATAACTAACTCAGTTACTGGGTTTCCTGACTCCGAATCCATGTGTTTCACACATCTCTCTACTTAAGGTTTCATTATTCGGTTTATGAATTAGCCAGGCTCCCTTCTTCCCTTTCCTTTGCTACTCTGTGATTGTACACACTGATTTTCAGAAGTGCAATCCCCAGACCAGCAGCATCAGCATGAGCAGCAAACTTGTTAGAAATACAGATTCTTCTACACCCCTTCTCACCTCCCCACCCCCCATCCCCCGCAACCAGACCTGCTGAGTCAGAAGCTCTCGGGTGGGGCCCAGCAATCTGTGTTTTAACCAGGTGATTCTAACGCCGCTCAAGTTTGAGAACCACTGTTAACATCCCTGTTAGAAGTTAATTTGATTTTACTCATGTGGAATATAATGGACAAACTGAACTACCTAGCTAAATAGAGACAAACTCATAGAGCAGGCAGACAGCTCCAGTGAGGGCAGGGTGAGGGGTTGAGGAAAAGAGAGAGAGAACTCATGGACATGGACATCAGTGTGATGATTTCGGGGTGGGGGTGGAGGTAGAAGAGGGCATAGAGGGGATAAATGGTGATGGAGAAAATAAAATAAGAAATGAGAATAGAAAAAAGACTTAATATTTAAAAGCTTACTTTTAACACTAGTTAAAAGTCTGATTAACTACCCCATTTTTTAAAAAATGTTTTAGGGGCCAAAGAAATCGACACTAAATAAAAAGAATGTTGACTTTTCCGGGCCTTTAGTTTATTTGTCTTTGTTCCTTATACCAAGGACAAAATAGGAGCTGTCCTATTTTGTGTGATTACACAAAACTCAGCTTGAGGTTAGAATGTACGTGATCTAACAACTCCCCTGTATCATAGCATTACTACATCCACATTTTAAAATTCACTGAGCCAGTAAATGCTTCCAAAGAAAGTATTTTCCTCTTTGAATCTAAAAGAGGCATGAGTCACCCAAAATCATATCTGTTACATTAAGATTAGCCAAACATCAGAAGAGCAGGTGAAAGATGATAAATCCTATAATTTATTGCAGTTAGACTTAAAATATGTAGCTTTGCTATCTAAAATTCAAATTCAGAGTTCAAAACCTATAGTTCAAAATGTCGCTTTTCTTGGCTGGGTCTTTTCTAAAGTACCAGCTGTGAAAACAAAAATGTAATTGTTTAAATTAGCTGTTGAATGTGGCTGCTATATGCACAATACTTCTGTGTGGGTCATTTATAAGTTGAGATTTTCTAAATAAGTTATGATGTTTAGCCATAAAATAAGAAATTTTAGGCCCGGCTGGTGTGGCTCAGTGGATTGAGTGCTGCCCCATGGACTGAGAGGTCCTGGTTCAATTCCCGGTCAGGGCACATGCTCCGGTTGCGGACTCCATCCCCAGTAGGGGGTGTGCAGGAAGCAGCCCATCCATGAATCTCTCTCACATTGATGCTTCTATCTCTCTCTCCCTTCCTCTCTCTAAAAAAATCAATAAAAAACATTTTTAAAAGAAATTTTATAGAGAACCTCCCTGAGAACCTATCAGCCAGGAGGCACTGTCATCTATTCCCTCATAAGTCCTCCTGGATTCTACTTATTAAACTCAATCAAGATGACTTGCGAACAGGAAGTAATTTTTAAAGGTGCTGACCTTGAGAACAAAGAGTGCATTAATTGATTTGGTTTTTGCAGTGATGTTTGACCTTCCCTCATGCCTGTGCCAAAACCAAATTATTTTCTTGCCAGTTACCAGGAAGGCCAGTTTTTACAAGATGCACAGGATTCAAGGGTAGAATTTAAAAAAAAAACAAAAAAAACTTTAGTAAATTGAGAATGCTTTTGAAGAATTTCTCTGGTCCATCTTCCAGCCTTTGGATACCGAGACTAGAAGTTTACTTTTCCGCTTCAGTCTTAAAGGCATGTTGCACATGACGTTTTTCTATCACCAGGTTCCTTGTGAGAAAAAAATAATTACAGATTTCATACTTGGGAGAAACCATAGTGGTCATCTTGCCCAATGCTTGAAACTTTTTGCAGCAGCCCTACAGCAGGTCACTGAAACTTGCAGAGCTGGAAATCTTCCAGGAAAGTGGGAATGGAGGACAGCTACAGTGTCGGTGGTTCCAGTCATACTGCCTGCAATATGCTACCCGCGTATTGGAAATTTACATGAATCCCAAGGTCCTGTGGAACTTGTAGCACCTTCATGACCCTAGTTACTACAGTAATTTCCAATCAGAGAAACATGGTCTAAATCAGGATTTCTCAACCTTGGCACCGTACCCTTTAGAACCAGATAATGCTTTGGGGGTAACGGGATGGGGGTACGGGGGAACTGCCTTGTGCATTGTAGACCTGCAGCACCTCTGGTCTCTAGCCTCTAGATGCCAGTGGCACTCATCTCTCCACCCCCAACCCCAACCTTCATTAGACAACCCACAACGTCTCTGGACATTACCAAATATCCCCAGTGAGGGGGTGGGGGTGTGCACATCTCCAGTTGAGAACTACTTTTCTAAATTAAGAATGGTTTATACAAGTTACAGAGTCCCAAGGAAATATTTAAATTATGTACTTTAGAAAAGAGTAGTAAAGATCTTAACTTTTTAAATCAAATAAACAGTTCCACAATTGACAGAACATTAGTACATTTCTCTTGGGTTTTTATGCAGTGAGTGTAGAGCAAATATTTCAGTCCATCCTGACTTATAAAAACCAGCTACCACAATAGGTGCTATAAAAAAGCAAATAGGGCCCTGGCCAGTTTGGCTCAGCGGTTAGAGCATCGGCCTGCGGTCCGGAGAGACCCGGGTTCGGTTCCCGCTAAGGGCACGTACCTTGGTTGCAGTTTGTCCCCGGCCCTGGTTGGGTCATGTGGGTGGCAACCACTCGATGTGTCGCTTTCACGTCGATGCTTCTCTCTCTCTCTCCCTCTCACTCTAAACAAAATATCGAAAAATGTCCTCGGGTGAGGATAAAAAAAAAAAAAGCAAATAGGCCCTGGCTGGTTTGGAGCGTTGGCCTGCGGACCAGAGAGTCCCGGGTTCAGGTCCTGCTAAGGGCACGTACCTTGGTTGCGGTTTGTCCCCGGCGCCAGTTGGGGTCATGTGGGTGTCATCCAGTCGATGTGTCTTTCTCATTTCGATGTTTCTCTCTCTCTCTTTCTCCCTCTTTTCCTCCTGCTATATCTGAAGATAAATGCAAAAATGTCCTCGGGTGAGAATATAAAAATAAATAAATAAATAAATAAATAAATAAATAAATAAATAAGCAAGCAAGCAAATAGCGGAACTATTACATAGATTCCAAGATTCCCTCAGCTTTAAGATGCACACAGATTTTTGTAACTTTTAGTTTAACATACAGGAAAATGCACATGTCACAAGTATACTGAATTACTGGATTTTCACAAACTGGACACACCATGTAACCAGCAACTAGATCAAGAAACAAGATTACCAGCACCCCCGGAGCCCTGACATCCCACTGACACTGTCCTCTAGCAGCGCCCACCTTGACCACGGTGTCATTCCCACTCCATGGCCTGGCCCTTCCCCTGCAGGACTCTGTCTGACTCGCTCCCTCGTTCCACTCAGATCTCTAGAACCTCTTCCGAGAGCCCCCTCACAGTCCTAAACTACTGTCTGCCACCCTGTCCCTGCTTTAATATTCTTTACAACTCTTATCATAGTCATTTTTGTCTACCTCCCAAACATAAAAGAGCACTCTGTTACTTAGCATATTGTCGGAGCTCAGGAAATTGAAGGCAGAAATGAATAAATCCAAATCAGAAATTTGAAGATGAGGAAAACGCAAGTGTTGAAATTGAGGAAATACCATCATAACTCTATTTACTGAGCGCCTGCTGTGTGCCAGTCATTTGCAATAAAGACACTTATGTGTTATTTCTTTTAATGTGTATAATAACCACGCCAAGATGCATAGTGGGCATATCAGTTAGGTTGCTTTCAGATATAAGTAACAAAACCCAACTAAAAGTGGATTAAATGAAAAGAAAAAAATTTTATATCATAAGAAGTGGATCAGAGATTTGACCAGTTCTATAACTGCATGAGTTATAGTTTGGCTTCTCTGCCACTTTATTAGTTTCTCATGGTCACAGATGGCGATAGCCATTCCAGAAGTCACCGCCGTGCTCACCAGTCTCCAGAAGCAGGTGAGGAGACACGCTGTGCATATGCTTCTCTTCATGTCAGTGAGGATAATTTCTTCCAGACTCCTCATATCTCACTGACCAAAATTCTTTTGTACATGGTTATGGGCTGATTGTTTGCGTTCCCCCCAAATTTATTTGTAGAAGCCTTAACTCCCAGTGTGATGGTATTTGGAGGTGGGGCCTTTGAGAGGTAAGGTTTCAAGAAGGTCATGAGGTTAGGAATACAGTAAGAGAGACAAAAATAAGGTGACTTGTGTTCTTTGTGGTTTGAATGAGCACACTTTTGAGAATAAAGGGTTGCTAACGGGGTGGGGGGGGTATACCTACACCACAGGTATAATCCGGACTCTCTTGGGAAAACATAAACATATAGTCACCCTAGAAACCAATGCCAATCCTGTGGAGGGAGCAGCTGTTAGAGAGCCTGGATCTTTGATGGATCCAATCAGCCACTGGGGCCCTCTCAAGCATTGTTGACAGTGCAGGGTTAGAATCAAAGAGAATAACACAGAGTTGGGGGAAAAGGGAGGCAGGAGTATTAGAAGGTCAAGAGAATGAGGGATCTTTGAGTCATTGGCAGCATCTTTGGAATGGGTGGCAGTAATTTACTGGCATTGTCCGATAGCGTTGTCTACAGTGATGGATGTCTACACTGTCTCAAGCCAAACCTCATGTGGCTACTGAGCAAATGAATTACTAATTACAAATCTTGTAAATTTAAGTGGCTACCATATTAGAAAGCGCTGGTTTGGATTAAGCCAAGAGAAAAGTGAAGCAAAAGTTGAAAGGCGAGATAGGAGTTTGTTGTACAGATTTTAGAGTACACGTAACTGTGTTTAGTTCTGTGTGATGATGAAGTTCGAAATGTGACAGTGCTTGGAAAAAACAAACAAAACAAAAAGACTTGGTGGGACCAAAGAAGGTGAAGAATGGAGTCTAAATATGGGTAGTTGCGTGCATGCCCTGTGGGAGATGATGGGAGTTGGGGTGGTGGGAGGCATGTCACACAAAAAGCCAAAGCCTTCAGGAAAGGTAAGTGGGTTCCCCAAGAACATGAGATGAAAACCACAGGGTAAAGAGAAAAGCATCAAAGATGGGCTAAGATTTCAACAGGAGAGTTTTTGGTTTTGGTTTTGGTTTTGGTTTTTAGATTAGTGGTGTTCTGAGTTTCTGGAGAAGGCATCGTGGATCAAAGAGTACAGATTCCTCTCTCCAGCCCTGGTCATGGCAGGGAGGCAAAGGGGAAAATTAAAATTGGTTTCCTTTTGCAAAGGAGAATAGTGGTGTTTAACCGTTGTTGTTGTTTTTTTTAATTTGCTTGTTTGTTTTTGATTGCTGTAATAGCCTAGGTTATTCATTAACAAAATATTTAAACTGAAGTTAGTGATAAATTGTATTAAACAGTAAATAAATAACTTTATTTTTCAGATCTGCCTTAACTTTGGAAATGCACTCCACTTAGAGGTAAGGAACCAAGGAGGTTACTTCCGTCTTTTGAACCCAGAGGCTTAATTTCATGGAAGACAATTTGGCTATGCCTCAGATTAAAAATGCACACACCCTTAAATCCAGATGTTCTCTCTCAAACAAGTGCCCAGGAACACATATGGAGGGATGTTCATGCAGTATTTTGGGGGCAATCCATCCATCAATAGGAGAATGGTATAACAATGTATGATACCTGGAAGAATGTCTATGATAAGGTACTGAATGAAAAATCAAGGGGTAGAATGAGAAGTGCAGTATATTTTATTTTTATAGGAAAAAACCTTGATACTTGTTCAACTGTTTGGTTATAAGAAAAGATCATAAAAGATATTCATTTGTCCAGGTGTTAATGTGAATACTCTGAAGTATGAGTGAAAATGTAGGTGGCCCAGCCCTTGTGGCTCAGTTGGTTGAGTGTCATCCCTTGCACCAGGGAGGTTGCTGGTTCAATTTCCAGTCGGGGCACATGCCCAGGTGTCAGGCTTAATTCCCAGTGCGGGCCATGCAGGAGGCAGTCAATTGATGTTTCTCTCTCATCGATGTTTCTGTCTCTCTCTTCCTCTCCCTTCCTCTCTATGAAATCAATAAAAATATTGTTTTTAATGTAGAAGGAAGTTTTATATTTTCACATTATAAACTTTAATGTTTTGTTACATAATTTAATTTTTTGAGTTATAGAATAATTTTTCAACTAAAACCAAAGGAAAAAAAATCAATGACCTAATGATAACCAGAATAAATATTTTTAAATAAAATACATATTATATAGAGCTACAAAATTAGTAAAATGAGAAACCTAGTAGAATAATCATTTCTGATTTTAAGACACTAGGTCAGCTATATTCAAATTTTCCTTGGATAAAATCTATATTATCAATTAAAGCACAAATAAAAATTTATAGAATTGTATTCCACTTAAAGGTTCTAAAAACAAGAGATAGGTTATCCCAGCCGGGTGTCTTACTTGGTTGGAACGCCGTCCTATACATCTATGTTTCTCTCTCACATTGATATTTCTCTCTCTCTCTCCCCCTTCCTCCCTCTCTAAAATCAACAAAAACATATCCTTGAGTGAGGATTAAAAAAAAAACAAGATGGGCAATTTAATCCTTTACCTCATTATTAAAACAATAAACTTGTTAACTGACAAATTGATATCAATAGGTTACTAAGATTTAGTCTTAAAACATTTAGTAATTCATTTTTAAAATATAAGCTACCACAGAAAAAGCGAACTTCATTTTCAGTTCGTTGGAAAAAAAATTTCTATGTTAATTTTAATTTGCTTTTTTGTAAGGCCACTAAATTATTTAACTTTTTTAAACTCTTCACTCTGAGAAATTTTTTTTAAAGATAAAAACTAAACCCTACTGCTATACTAGTTTGGAGACAATCTGTTGAACTCTTATGGAAGTTGCTAGTGTATACATTTCTTCTTTGAAAATGAAGCCTATTAACAAATATCTCACTTCTGGGACTATATCCTAAGAATCCTGAAACAACAATCAGAAAGAATATATGCACCCCTATGTTCATAGCAGCACTATTTACAATAGCTAAGATCTGGAAACAGCCCAAGTGCCCATCAGTAGGTGAGTGGATAAAAAAGCTGTGGTACATTTACACAATGGAATACTATACAGCTTTTTAAAAGAAGGATCTCTTACCCTAACCTTTTAGACAGCATGGATGGTCCTGAAGATTATTACGCTAAGAGAAATAATTTACTCAGAGACACAAATTTCACATGATCTCACTTATGTGTGGAATCTAATGAACAAAATAAACTGATGAACAAAATAGGTCCAGAGACATGGAAGCATGCAACAGAGTCATGAATCTCAGAGAGAAATGCGGGGGGAGGTTGGGAAGAAATTAACCAAAGAACTTATATGCATATATGCATAACCTATGGACACAGACAATAGTGCTGTGAAGGCCTGGGGTGGGGTGGTAGCCAGGTGGAGGAGGGCAAAAAGGGGGAAAATGGGGGACATCTGTGGCACTCTCAATGGTAAAAATAAATTTAAAAAAAGGAAATATGAAAACTATGCTTTGAAATTTGCACAGGTATCTTTAAAGTTTTAGCAAATTACACAATACCGTACTAATGTCTTAGGGCACTTAATAATTTTTTGGCAATATTTTGTTGTAGGCCTTAAGCACAAGAAATGAAAATAAGCTGCTCCCTAAACATGCTCACTTAGTAAGGCAAAAACGTGCCTGGATCACCGCCCCTGTGGCTCTTCGGGAAGGAGAGGATCTGTCCAAAAAGAATCCGATTGCCAAGGTACCTTCTAAAGAGGAACAGAAAATATATGCATATTACTAAGATATGGTGGGAGAAGACATTTATGCTCACTTTTAAATTGAAGGAAAATTGCCCTGGCCAGTTTGGTTCAGCGGTTGGAGCGCCGCGACGCCCGCGGTCTGGAGAAACCTGGGTTTGGTTCCTGCTAAGGGCACGTACCTCAGTTGTGGTTTGTCCCCGGCCTGGTTGGGTCATGCGGGGGACAGCCACTCGATGTGTCCCTTTCACATTGATGTTTCTCTCTCTCTCTCTCTCCCCCTGCCTCTCTCTCCCTCCCACTCTCTCTGAACAGAAAATGGAAAAATATCCTCGGGTGAGGATTTAAAAAAAAAATTTTAAGGAAAATGATATAGTGTACTTAATGAGATTTTTTATATTGCAGGTGTATTTGAAAATTAGCAAAGCTTAATTTTTATCAGAAACTTCCGACTTTAATATCTTCTTTCCCATTCTGAAAGATGCAACATCATTGATGAAGATATATGTAATTAGGGGCTTTGATTCAACAAAGAGTTAAGGAAAGGTATCTAGCACCAGCTGAATCTTTGTGTAACAGTGTTACAATAATCAAAAGATATTATCATATGCAGGAGAGGAAAAATTATTTTTTCTGCTACCGTCCTAGGTTCTCTGGGGCCCTGTTGGCCTGACAGAAAGACTGATTATAATACAAGAGAAAAACAAACAAGTTTATCAACATGTGTATCATGCATGTAACATGGTAGAATCCAGAGATGAGTAATTCAAAGGTTTGGTTAGAATTTGGGCTTATATAGCATCTTAGGAAAGGAGCAATAAATTTTTAGAGATGTGACAAGGCAAAGGAAAAGGACCTTGAGTTTGTGGGGGCAGCAAATTGTGGGAAGGCAAATGTATGTTAAACCAGTGGTAGAAAAAGGCTGGCTAGTAAAGTCTGTTACGGGGATTCCTTGTGCCATCTCCAGACTGAAGAGAGTCTGAAGTTGTTGGTGACAGTTGAATTTTCTACTTCTTGGTAGAGAGGGGAGAGAGGTCACCTTTACAAATTTATGTCCTGCTTGTACACAAATAGGGGGAGGGCAGAGAGCTTTTTTTCTAGATCACTTCTTCTCAGTTGCCTTCAGCTCAAAATAAACCTATACCAAAGTGACATAGTTGGGGGTGGCATATTCTGCCACCCTGTACCTAAGGAGTAACCTTCAAAATGAAAAAAACAAAAACAGAAAACTGACACCTAGTAGATAGGGTGACCATATATCCTTATTGAGATAGTCTTCATTTATGCTTGTTGTCCTGACTTAATGATTAATAACTCCCTTTGCACTCTCAGAGTATCCTATTTTTGATAAATTATATGGTAATATCTTATGTGCAAACCTGAACCCTGGATTTTTCCCTAACGGTGTTCTCCATAAATTCTACCCATTTCAATAAATGGCACTATCATTCCATCTAGTTTTTGAAAACTGTAGCAGATATTTTCAGTTTTAGCCCCAAAATATATCCCAGATCGGCCCACTTCTCTCCACTGCCACCCCGTAGTCCAGGTCAGTTCCTCTCTGCCCTGTGTTACCCTGAGAGCCCTGACCTTGGGTCCATGTTCTCACTCTTGCCACCCCCACCCTGACCCCCACCACAGTTCATTCTCCCCAAAGCAGCCAGAGTGATCATTTGAAAGATAAATCAAAGCATGTTCACCCCCTTAGTGAGACCCTTTCAATAGCTTCCTGCTGTAGTGGAAGGAATAAACTCTTTACCCCAGCCCACAGAGCTCTTGGGTTTTATTGGCCTTGACCTCCTCCTCTCTGACCTTAGCTCCTGTCAGCCCCCATCCGCCACTCTGTTACATCCCTAAAATGATAGAAGCTCATTTCACATTCCAGCCCCTCCCCCTTTGCCCTTACTGCTCCCTGTGCTTGGAATCCTCTCCCTACAGATATTTGCAGTATCTGTGCATCAAGCCTCTGCTAAGGGTTACTTCCTAAGAGTGCCCCTCCCTGCCTCACCCCATCTCTCTCTGTCCCATCACTGGTTCAGCTTGGTTCTGGTGCAGTGATATCCAAGTTGTACTTTATCTTTGCAATCTTATACATGTCATACATGAAGAGCTCCTTAAAAGAAAGAGCAGCTACGTAACAGAAGACAGCAATTTCCATTTTCTAGCAACGGGTTGTTTTCATGAAAGCCTTCTAAAATCCAGATTTTTAATTATGGCTTTCCATAATAATATGTGTAAAGCAGTTAAGTTTTTTGTTTTAGTTTGGTTTGGTTTTCTGAGCTATCCAAGTCATTCACACATTCTTTCACTAGGTTTCCCTAAAATGCATTGATACTTTGGGGTTCAATATGTGATAACCCCACAAGTTGTTAAAAGTAAAATTTACATAAAAAGCAAAACATCATGTTAATTTCCCCAACTTTTCAAATTCTGTATGTAGAGGTAATATTGTTAACAGTTTAGTATCTTCTAGATCTTATGAAATTCATAAGAATGTCTATATGCATACTCTTATGTGCACACATATGTATCCACAAACCAACAGTTATGTTTACACAGTTTTGTTATTTTTAACATGAGTGGGATTATATCATACATATAATCAGTACATAAAGATCTAGAATATCCTTTATAAATAATATTATATATATACACATATACATACACATATGTATATACTTGGCGAAGAAAAAAAAGAGAGAGAGAAACAAGCACAAAGAAAGAGAAAGACAACCGGACAGGTGGACAGACACAAGCTCAGTGAAAGTACTGGGACTGCTCTGGTTCACCTTCCACTCCAGGAGCAGAGCTGGTGTAGCAGGAAGTGGGAAACCCTACCTGCTGTTCCCTGGGTTATTCTCAGCAGCAACTCCCCAGCCCCAGTGCATGTTGGGAAACCTATGGGAAGAAAGTGTAATCCTGAGGTTTCAGGACAAAGAATTGACCAAGCTGTGATGGATTCGGTGATGTCTAAAGGAAGAGATTGAGGAAGTATGCCTTCTTCATACTTTCCAGAGGATCAAGTGGATTTATGAAGGTGATTTTGACCCTGCAATTTTTACCTTCTGTACTAAACTTAAAATCTAGCCCCCTCCAAGATGTACCCCTAAGAATATCTTAACTTCACAACAACCCTAAGAGGTAGGCAGTAGTATCTCCACTTTACAGATAAGAACACTGAGGCCCAGAGCAGTTATGTAACTGTCTTAGTATCATGCAACCAGTGAGTGGCTGAGACAGGGTTAGAACCCAGGTTCTCTGACTCCAGTACATCTGCTCTTGAGTGCTTGTGTCCTTCCACCTCCTCCTGGTAACATGGCAACTTCAGAGGGAAATTCTCTTTCAAAAATATTTGTCTGTAAGTTATAGAGTTTAACTTGAGGCATTCCTCTGTTATTTTTCTATTAGATACATTCTGATTTTGCAGAAGAAAAAGGACTAAAAATTACATACAAGTACACTGGAAAAGGGATCACAGAGCCACCTTTTGGTGTGTTTATCTTTAATAAAGACACCGGAGAATTGAACGTTACCAGCATTCTTGATCGAGAAGAAACACCATTTTTTCTGGTAAGAAGAACAATTATATGTTTATTAGTTTGAAGGTTTTCTCTGGTAACAGTCATGATTTGTTTTGTTTTGTTTTGTTTTGTTTTGGACGATGGTAGTTTAATTACCTTAGCTTAAATCTAATCTCTTCTATTATTTATGCCATAATTTCAGCTAATTGGTTATGCTTTGGATGAAAAAGGAAACAATCTAGAGAAACCATTAGAACTCCGCATTAAAGTTCTTGATATCAATGACAATGAACCAGTGTTCACGCAGGACGTCTTCGTTGGGTCTGTTGAAGAAATGAGTGCAGCACGTAAGGGTCTATTATTTTTATGAATGAATTCCCAAAGTCACTTGAACCCCACTGTGTGCCTGAACACGAACCCTTGTGTCTTAGTGGAGGCTGAATATTAACCACAGGACAAATAGTAACAACTTTGTTGCTTTGGGTTTGGAACTGGCTTTTTTTGTGATAAGTTCAAAAGACATGACATCTTTGTTACCCTCAGAACAGATATGGTAGATGAACATGACACATTAGATCTCTGTACCAGCTACTCTGCCTTGTAACAGAAAAGCAGCCATAGAAAGTATGTAAATAAATGGGCATGGCTGTGTTCCAATTAATTTTGTTTACAAAAACTGACGGTGGCTGGCTTTGCCGGCTAGCAGTAGTTTGCTGACCTTTGACTCATAATATTTCTGCTGTCCGGGTTGTTGACAGTGTTCAATGCAGTGTTCTCCGTGACCACTTGCAGGAGAGAGTTCTCTTTGAGCATGGTGTGAAGAAAAGCTGCCCTTCTCCTGAATTGTTTGTATTTTAATAAGCATCTATTAACTATCTGTTCATTCTTCTTTCTTCATTAGAACTGTTATAAATAAATCTGTGGCCCTCCTGTAACAAGTGTTCAGGACTTCAAAAATTATATGTGTTAACCATGGCCCTGCCCTGATCTTGTTTTTCTTACTCCTATAATCCATTCCCACTTATTTCCTCGTCTAGTTCAGTTTTATTATCTCGGTAAACTGTGATTTTAATAGGCACCTGAAATCATTTTTGGAACAAGCTGAAATGATACATAAAATAGCACATGTGTACTTAAAGTTGAGTTTCATTTTGGACATCTTTGTTTCTAATGCCAGATACCCTTGTGATGAAAATCACCGCGATAGATGCAGATGAGCCCAATACTATGAATTCTAAAATTTCCTACAGAATCGTGTCTCAGGAGCCTGCTTACCCCCCAGTGTTCTACCTCAACAAAGATACAGGAGAGGTTTATACAACCAGCATTACCTTGGACAGAGAGGTAAATTATGTTGCTCATCTTTTAAACTCTCCTTTATTCTTTCAGGTTCTCTTCTCTATTTGTTTCTTTAATTTTCCTACTTTGTTGTCTATTTCTACTTGATAGGATAACTCTGAGAATTATCCCCTTCTAGGGATGTGCCATCCAGTATGGTAGTCATTGGCTATACGTGGCCACTGAGCACTTCAAATGTGACTGGTCAAAATTAAGTTGTGCTATAAACGTAAAATCTACCAAACTGGGAAGACTTAGTATGAGGGGGGGAAAAAAAAGGAATGTAAAATACCATCTTACTAATTTTTTGTTGATTACATGTTGAAATAATATTTGAGATATCATGGGTTAAATAAAATATATTTTTAAATGAACATCAGCAGTTTTTTGTTTTTGTTTTTACTCTTTTAAATGTGGCTGCTAGAAATTTTTCTTTTCTTTTTTTTTTTTTTATCCTCACCCGAGGACATTTTGCATTCATCTTCAGATAGAGCAGGAAGGAGAGAGGGAAAAACATCAATGTGAGAGAGACACATCAAGTGGTTGCCACCCACGACCCCAGCCGGGGCCAGGGACAAGCTGAAACCGAGGTACGTGGAACCGAACCCGGGACTCTCTGGTTCGCAGGCCAGCGCTCTAACCACTAAGCCAAACCAGCCAGGGCGAAATTTTTAAATTATAAAGGACAGCACTGGTGTAGGGCCTCTCCAGTCAGGATTCTGTTTGCTAGAGAGCTCTAAAGCAGTGTTTCTTAATTTGTGTTTCTGTAATGAAACACCAGGAGTCTCCTCTACCACTGAAAGATATACAGAGGAAGGCAAAAACGTAGACATAGCAGCCCTCTTTGGGTAATAGAGCTATTTGTAAAGGAAAGAATTCTTGTAAACCCCAAATTGGAGGAAAATTTGTGAAGGTTTCCTAGAAATTCTGTTCTCTCAAACATTTCACATATTTTGCATTTCTAACTCAAAGGGAAAATTTTAGAATAAAAAGGGAGATAGAAGATTTTACAAATGCTACATAGAAGATTTAACAATGTGCTTGAGTAAAATGTTAATGATCCTAAGAACACTGTATTGTCATCAAATATAAATCATCATCCAAATGCAGTCAGTATATTTTGTATGACTTGGAAAAATGATTTCACTCTGCCCAGAGAGGGGGAACATTTGCCCAACATTCCTATTGAGATCTTTGTAGAATTAAATAATTTTCTTACTTTTAAAATTCTACTCTAAGCCTTTTCACATAAAATTAGAATGGAAAAGTATTATTTTGAAGTAGTGTGATTTCTTAATAAGCTACTATCTCTAAAGTATGGACATTTTAGCCAGTAATAGTGGCTGGCACTTACTGGGCATTTACCATGTGCCAGGTGCTAATTCACACCTTTTACACAGATTAATCCATTTAATGCACCTAGAAACCATGTGAGGCGGATCCATATATTTCTATCCCCACTTTATGCAGAAGGAAAAAGAGGGTCAAAGGGATTAAGTGTATCCAACATTATGTAGTTAGTGACAGAGCCAGAATTGGCACTCAGGCGGCTGGTCCAGAGCCTCTGCTGCCCTGCCTTTCATGGAGTAGTTCTGCCCCACACAGCAGCCCCGTGCATGGGCACTGGCTGCCCTGCTCCTTCTTAATCTCCATCCCGCCGCACTGAGTGGAGATACTGTGTGTAAGGGGACCACGTGGAAGAGAAGGGTGTATCTAAGACGTCGTTCTCTAGGACCCCTTCTCTAAGAATCATCTCTCTCAGAAAAAGGCCACCGAGTTTTGCCTTCACCAGCCAACATTTCCTGGGGGCTAGGTCTCTCTGGCTTAACTATTAACTAAAAATGAAATGTGAGGCAGAGAGAACCAATTCCTATAGTCCTGCCATCACTTCCAAGGTAGAACAAACTACATTTTAAATATCACTCTTGTGCACACTATTTGAAGGAGAGACGCACCTCCTGATAATATCACCAATGGCATATTTAAGAAATTGACTATCTACAACTCCTTCAGGCTTGTCTGTCCTAGAAAAGCTCTGACAGCAAATACATACCGTCACATGAATAACAGCAGGTCATGAAACTTACTTATGAATGAAGTATACTGTGGTTCATTTCGTTGATAATAAAGTGAACTAAAACCAGAAAGATACACCAAACAACAAGTGCTGGTGGGAAAAGAAAACTTGTTACACTGCTGGTGGGAATGCAGACTGGTGCAGCCACCATGGAAAACAATATGGTGTTTCCTCAAAAAATTAAAAATTGAACTGCCATTTGACCCAGCAATCCCACTTCTTGGAATATATCCTAAGAAGCCTGAAACACCAATCAGAAAGAATATAGGCACCCCTATGTTCATAGTAGTGCTATTTACAATAGCTAAGATCTGGATACCAACCCAAGTGCCCATCAGTAGATGAGTGGATAAAAAAGTTGTGATATATTTACACAGTGAAATGCTATGCAGCTGTAAGAAAGAAAGATCTCTTACCCTTTGAGATAGCATGGAGAGAGTTATGCTAAGCGAAATAAGCCAATCAGAGAAAGACAAATACCACATGATCTCACTTATTTGCGGAATGTAATGAACAAAATAAGCTGATGAACAAAATAGATCTAGAGACATGAAAGTAGGGAACAGACTGACAAACCTCAGAGGGAAGTTAGGGTGTGTGGGTGGGAAGAGGGAAACCAAAGAATGTATATGCATATATGCACAACCAATGGACACAGACAACAGTGAGGTGAAGGTGGGGGGTGGGGGGAGTGTCCAAGGGGAAAAAAGGAGGGACATCTGTAATAAAAAATTAACAAATTAAGTATTAAAAAATAATATAAAATGAAACCAGAAAAACCCACTTGCAAGCGCTTTAGTTTCACCCCAGGTGGATATTTTTTCTTGTCCTGCAGGAACACAGCAGCTATACTTTGACCGTAGAAGCAAGAGATGGCAATGGACAAATAACAGACAAACCAGTAAAGCAAGCTCAAGTTCAGATTCGTATTTTGGATGTCAATGACAATATACCTGTAGTAGAAAATCAAATGGTAACTATTATTTTGATAGCAAACTTATTCGTATTTTAGTTCTACCTAAAAATACAGTCGTCCCTCGCCACTTCACGCTTTGACTTTCGTGGCTTCACTCTATCGCGGTTCTTAAAAAAGTTGATCGAGACAGTGAAAATGATACAGCACACGCTCGGTTGTCTGAGTCAATTATACACCCTGTATTACAATTAAAATTGAAATTACTGTACGTATGGACTGTAGGCCTATGTATTCATGCACCCCAGGAATCCTTCAACGCCAGGTGCAACCGCTAGAGTCTGGAACAGATTAACTGCAATAAACGAGGGACGACTGTATGTCACTTGTGTTTGTGTTACATTAAAATGAAAATCCTGTGTTTGTGATTTGCAGTATGAAGGGCTGGTTGAAGAAAATCAAGCCAATGTAGAAGTTATGCGCATAAAAGTGTTCGATGCAGATGAAGTCGGCTCTGATAACTGGTTAGCAAATTTTACATTTGCATCAGGAAATGAAAGGGGTTATTTCCGCATAGAAACTGACACTCAAACGAATGAAGGAATTGTGACCCTTATTAAGGTAAGTACTTAGTGTTCAAAACAAGAATGGGAGAAATTGTGCAGAAGGAAACTGATATATTTGGATTCCCTAAGACTTATGTTTTATATACTCAGTTAACTGGCACCACCATTTTTTGAGATAGGAGCCATCTCTGTTGGCCCACGTTCTGTGGCAAGTATGTGGTCCCACTGCAGTGTCAATTCAGATCAGGGACTGTGAACCTAACCTGACAGCATGATCCCAGCGTCACTGCTGCTTAGCACACTTCTGTCTTGCTTGCAGCCTTGCCTGACTGTAACATTCCCACGTCATGACCTCTTGCCTCTACTCATTGTCTCCCACACTACTATTTCTTATTTGATCAACTTTACAGCAAAGCCAGATCTTATTAATAATGTCTAAAGACAAAAGCTGTAATAACTGGACAGAGCTCCAATCCAGTTGTCCTCATACGTGCGAGTGCCTAAGAATTACTTGGTAAAGCTACATGCTCAAAGTGCAGAATACTGGACCCCACCATTAGTAATCTGTGATTGTGTCGGGCTCAGGAAATTGCCTTTATAACAAAAAGCCACCTGTGATTCTAATATAAGTAGTATGAGGGTCACTTCTTGAAGTATGGTTTTAACCTCTTGTGCTTAAGTAAAGGAAAAGGAAAGGAAAGGAAAAATTAAATAGTCTTACTAAGAATATGTGCCTTATACATTTGAAACTCATTACCCCCATAGAATTTTTTAAACAAAAATTACAGGATGTATTTTTATCTGACAAAACAAGTAAGGAAGAATATTGGTGTATTTGTAAATGGTTTATGATAGAATTACCTTATCAGATTTTGAAATAAAATGCAGAGCTACAGCTTTCTTTTTTGTTTGTTTTTGCAATTTTTATTAATTTAATTTTGTTACAGATGCTTCTCCTTTTTCTCCCCTAGAAACCCTCCTCCTGATTCCCCCTTACCCCCCCGACACCCCACTCCAACATTGTTGTCTATGTCCATTGGTTACCCATACATGCATATAAGTTCTTTGGTTTATCTCTTCTCTCCCCCCTCACCCTCCTCCTCTGAGGTTTATTAGTCTGAACCATACTCCTTTCTGTGTCTCTGGGTCTATTTTGTTCATCAGCTTATTTTGTTCATTATATTCCACAAATAAGTGAGATCATGTGGTATTTGCAAAGCTACAGCTTTCAAAATACTATTTCATTAAGTCTCACACAGACAAAAATTGATTCTAGAAGTTTCCAAATTTTTACAAAAACTTAATACATGGCAGAGTTGAAAAAAATCTAACAGAAGAGAAATAAGGAGAGTATAAATATATAACAGAATAGAGAAAAATTAACTTGAAGTTTCATGGTAATAATTATGGGCACCATTTATCGATAGGCTACTACATGCACTTAGACTACCATTTTCTAAAGCGGAGGAACATAGAATAAGGTTACCTCATGTTTAAAGGGAAGACACCTGTTATGATTGTTGAAGAAATGGATAATGGTATCAGAAGTGAAATAGATTTATCTGCTTATATAGAACTAATCATACTTTTAGTCATCAATTGTAGGTGAGACCATGCTAGATGCTTGAGGTAAAAAGCATGTAACACACAAGGGGAAACTGTCACTTAGTGAAGAGATAGAAGCGTTGATGCATTCTCCATGCACCATGGCAGCACAAAACAAATATACTTATTTCTACCAAAGGGAACATGGACAAAAAAAAATAGTAAAATTAGTATTGAAACAACAGCCACAGATTGAGAAAATTTTAAATTCACTGTCTCGGTTGTATAAAGAGTTTCTTCCAGATACTAAGGGCAATAATTAGATCCATTGAGAAGTTAGACAAAGAAGATATACAAATAGTTAATACGGAAATAACGCGATATTCAACATCATTAGTCACTAGGAAAAAAGCAAACTGAAACTATATTAGATGCCATAGCACACCTATTAGAATGGCTATGATCAAAAAGATTGACAAGTATCGGCAAGGATATGGAGAAACTAGAAGTCTTATATATTGCTAGTGGACACATAAATGGTGTAGCTAGAGTAGTCGTTTTTTAAAATGTTAAGCATAGAGTACTCAGTGACCCAACGATTTAGTCCTAGGTATCCACTCAAGAAAAAAACACAAAAACTTGTATGCAAATGTTCATACAACAGTCAAAAACTGATAACAATCCAATGTCTATCAGCGGATAAGTAGATAAATAAAATGTCGTAAATCCATACAATGGAATACTATTGAGCAGGAAAAAGGAATGAATTACTGATATATGCTACAACATGGATGAACCTCAAAAACATTTTGTGTAAGAAGCCAGACACAAAATGCTACATAATTGTATGATTCCATGTATGTGGAATTTCTAGGAAAGGCAAAACAGTAGCTATAGAAAGCAGACCAGTGGTTGCTTAGGGCTGGGGTGTTAATGGCAATTGACTGCAAACGGGCACAAAGGAACTTTTGGGGGTGATGGAAGTATTCCAAAACTGGGCAGTAGTGATGTTTGCAAAACTATAGGTTTACTAAAAATCACCATGCTGTAAACTTCACGTGGAGGAATTTTAATGTAGGTAAATTATACTTCAATAAAACTGTCAAAAAAAATGATAAAAGAGAAGAGTAGTACTTTGTGGAAATAGAGATAGTAAATCATCATATGAAAAACAGTCTTAGCTTTGTTAGCAAATGAGTTTAAAATCTTTAATACTACTAAAAACAGCAAAAATGGAAATGATAAATATGTTGACCGTTATAAAAATAGAGGTAGGTGCCCTTATACATTGCTCTTGATGCTGAACATTTTTCCATTCTCTTTGGATCATTGTGGCTAGGTGTAAAAAACACTGAAAGAGTTTTTGTAGCCCTCCCCCATCCCATACCTAGCTTATTTATTTTTAAGGTTGTCTTGGCCTTCTATGGTCTTTGACTATGAATGCCATTTGGCTGGAATACTTAATTTCTCATCCAGCACACATCATGCCATCAAAACAAGCATGTCCCGTGCAAGAGCAACCTAAAAACAAAAACAAAACCAAAAAAACTCATATGAGGATTCTACAGTCACAAAGAGTGTCTTCTCCAGTCATTTTCTGTTGTGTTCTTATCCCAACACCATAGTGACCCATATAAAAAAGGGGGCAGGAGAAGTTGTTACCCATCCAGAACACTACTTAGAGGAAAACAAATTTCATAATAAATCTTTCAAAACAAAAGTGAACAGCTTTGCTGTCATTCATGTAAACTTATGGAACGCATTTAATGTTATGTTGGAGAAACAGCAGCTGGTCAGTGCATCTAAATGGTCAGGGCCACTAGAAATAAAATGCGACTGTACTTAATAAACTTTGGCTAGGTACATTTTTAGTGGTAAGATAGAGCTCAACAGAGGAAAAATAATTTGTGTAAAAATAATTCAGAGCACTATTAATTATATTTAAAAATTGCGAATGGTCTAAATGCCTAATGATAGAATGGCTAAGTAACTTAAGTGCAACTAAATAGTAGAATACTATAGAACGTTTTAAAGAAAATATACAAATTGGGACACAGATTATGTATACAGGGACAAACTGATTATATCATATGTACTTTATAAATATGTACCACAATTCACCAAGAATAGTATTTGGAGAAAGATTCATCTTTTATGGCATAATAGCAAACCAGGTATTAACAGACATGCTATAAAGAGGGGAGGGGTTTCTTTGTTTAAACAAATGTGAAAGCCCCTGGGCTTATCAGAGGTAAAACCTTCGGCCTCCTCCGGGAGGTCTCAGATTTCCGGTGTGCTCATGCGCAGTGAATGTCTACACTAGGGAAGCAGAGCCACTACTATTTACATAGCCCTTTCTCCAGGACAAGCCATGAAACACATTTTAAGGATCGTTAACTTACATTGAATGTCCATGAACTTGCTTTCATTAAGAAAAGAAATCACTTCAAATTCTTCAAAATAAATATATTTTTAAATGATTTTGACCTTTAAAAAAATAAATGGGGGATGTTTTGTAATCATTCTTCACAGTTACGAAAATCCAAATTGACAGATTTTTAATTGCATGTTATCAATATGAGTTGGGATACTCAGTGTTGCTGTATTTCCCATGTGTTAAATTGTTATAGCTAACATTAAAATTACACATGTGGCCCTGGCTGGTTTTGCTCAGTGGTTAGAGCATCGGCCCGCGGACCAGAGAGACCCGGGTTCGATTCCAGCCAAGGGCATATACCTCAGTTGCGGTTCATCCCTGGCCCCAGTTGGGGTTGTGTGGGTGGCAACCAGTCGATGTGTCTCTCTCACGTCGATGTTTCTCTCTCTCTCCCCAGTGCTGTCTGAAAATAGATATTTTTTTTAAAAATGTATATTCTATATGCATTTTAGTTTTCTCTTTTGAAAGAATTCCTTTTGATTTTGCCTTTCTAGGAATTAGATTATGAAGAAATGAAGCATCTTGACTTCAGCATTATTGTCACTAATAAAGCACCTTTTCACAAATCAGTTAAGAATAAATATAAGCCCACAGCCATTCCCATCAAAGTAAAGGTGAAGAATGTGAAAGAAGGCATTCATTTTAAAAGCAGCACAATCTCTGTTCACACCAGCGAGAGCATGGAGAAATCAAGCCTAAGCCGAGTGATTGGAAAATTTCAAGCATTCGATGAAGACACTGGACAAGTAGCCCGAGTAAAGTAAGAGATGGTGATGAATATATTTCCTCACTGTAAATTACTTTAAATGCCTGTTTTCGAAAAAAAAAATCATAATGAAATATGAACATTTCATTTCTTTTCACCCAACATTATAATTCCCCAAAGGTCTGTAGATTACATTTCCCGGAGTTGAACCTATAACTGAGAGGCAGGGGGAGATTTCTCCAGACCCCAGTGCCTCCGCCACCTGTGTGTGAGCAGAGCCTGGGTTCCTCGCCTCAGGAAGTTCTGGCTAGCAAAGGCTAAAAATCAACACAGAAAGTTCAGAAAGAAACTTTCTAAAATCTGTTTTTCTAAGAGTCTTCAAGGTAAGAAAGTGACAAATTTTATTGCAAATCCCACTTGATACCAGTTTGGTTAACAGAAGTAGTTGCTTAAGGTATTTTAATGTGGAGAAACCAGTTTCATTTACACATAAATCTTGGAAATGACTCTTCATTTCAATCACTGTTTGGTTCAGTGACTGATGATCCGTTCATGTTTGGCACTGTCATAGTGACCTCGACTCAGGTACATGTACTGAGAACTCCCTAGATTCCACCACTGTGCTGGAAAGAACTGGGCTATGCCCCCTTTATAGTGACACCTCAGGTTTGCCTGATATGTTTAAATTTTCAAAATAAATTTACACCTTAGATTGCAGATCCATGCCGTAGAAAAACAACTTTATGAAACTATTATTTATGGAGCTCAGTTAGAATTATTACAGTTGAATTTAAAGAAACCCTGCCTGCCACCGGATGCACAGCCTGTTTTCCTGTCAGTCAGAGTTGTTTGATTTCCTAACTGTCCTTACGCCTGGGTGAGGACACTAACCTTCGCGTCCCTGGGTGCCAACACTTTATAAAATACTGTGTGTACATGCATGGCCGACTATAGTCAGAATGGAAATGGGACTGTGAAGAAGCTTTTCAACAATCTCTTTCCTTTTGGTGACTCTTCTTTTAATGGAATTCATCATCCAATAGTAGCAAATAGCCTTTTCCCAAAATAATATTAACAAACAACCTCCACTGTGTTTTCTGCAATGTCTTGATGACCCTTTTTTGCCCACCTTACCTGCAGGAACCCGCCCACTTCTTTCGAGTTTGGTAGTCTAGATTTTATTTCCATGGCTCTCACCCTGACAAGGCAACCCTAACTGAATCCCCAGCACTGAGGATGAATGCCCTCTGATGGTCTCACTGCTGTCCACTGAGAGGCTTATATGTTCTAATTAATTATCCTGCAACAATACTGTGGCTCTTTATTGAAATGTCTGCTTCCCACCTAACCATTTAATTTTGGCTGCTATTTTCATTAAGGGTTATTAACATATCAAAAGATCCGTTCTGCCTGGAAAAATAATGAATCATGTTTCTTTATTTCTCAAAAGTATTTTCTTTTATTCTTTAGCATGCAATCACAGAACCTTGAATGAGAAAGATCTTACCGATCAATTCACACCGACTGTTTTACATAAGGAACAGGATGCACAGCCACGTCAAATAGTGTTGTAATGTTTCCCTGACTCGTTGGTGGTTGCTATTTAGAAATGCTGACAAGGGCAGCAGCAGAACTATTTTTCCTTAACTTGTTCATAATTTACTGGTTCACTAATTGTTCATATGCATCAAATGGTTATAAATACTGGCATACCGTGTGAGCTACCCTCTACTTTGAATGGTGTCCATAATTTTTAACCCAACATTAAGAACAGACATTCCTTAAATGAGATCACATACGTGTGAAATGTGATCCTCATTACTGACTCTATGAATGTGAGAAATCATTGACAGCAACTAAAATTTCAGAGATGAAATTGAGAAATACTCAGGAAAGTCCAAATGTATTGTTGTCATTTACTGGTAGAAATACTGAAAGGCAGAACATGTAGTTAAAGTGTGTAATTGAAATTTTTAAATAGCACTATAAACAAATATTGCTATAAGTTAGCCCTCATTCCTATGTGCCTAAACAGCCACTTAATAAAAAATAAATGATCGATCTGGTTGATTGACAAATATTCATATGTTTGATTTATGTTTGGATTCGGTTATATTTAAATTTGATGATATTTAATTACATGCATTTTTTTAAGGCATAATATGAAAGTTCTCCTTGCTGTTCCCAAAGTTGTCTCTTTCCACACTAATTCTCTTTGCTTGGAGGGGAGAAACCCAGAAATCATTCCATCAGCATTGTTTTCTCTCTGAACAGTTTCTCACTGAAAGAAGGCTATTGCTCTTACCAACCAACAATATTCCAAAATGTTAAGGTACTTCCATTTAAAATAGTCACTGATTTTTTAAAATCTATATTTGTAAATATTGATAACATGCCAATAAACAATAGACTGTAAGTCTTTTCTCCACCAGTCTTGTTGGGTAACTAAGTTATTCTCGCAAGGTTCACCCCAGATTTCAGGGAGACTAGATTGCACGCTGCAGGACAAACTGCAGAGCAACTCGCAAACCTCCCGGCCGAGCAGGCAAGGGCGGCCACCCTTGCATATATGTCTTGAGTATGTTCAAGGATTAAGGAAGGTTCCAACATGAGTGTGACATGCAATACAGAGAAGGAATTTTAGGAAAGTTTCAAGAAATTAAAAACATTTCAAATTAACGCCCGTAACAAGAACATATACGATGAAGCAAAAGTGAAACTTGAAAGACTTGTACATATTAGATTCACATTTTATCCAGAATACAACACTAATTTTGTGTTTGTTGTATAACAGATATGTCAAATTGGAAGATGTAGACAATTGGGTCTCTGTGGATTCTGTCACATCTGAGATTAAACTTGTGAAAATTCCCGATTTTGAATCCAGATATGTCCGAAATGGTACATACACTGTAAAGATTTTAGCTGTATCAGAAGGTAAGTTATTAAATAGATACTCTTCTTGGTTATATGTAGTTTCATAGTATTTTCCAACATCAGAGACCTTCCTTTTGATCATATAGGAAAATCAAATCTCTCCAGTGGAAAGACTCACATTTCTACTTATTTAAAGATATTACTTGATCTGAATATAAAAAATATCTGGGCAAGGAAGTGTCCTGATTTGTTAGTACCTTCTCCTTAGCAAACTGGCAAGAGAATGCAAATACTCTTATCATCAATGTAACCAGAATATGCATATCTTTTTTCTTTCTCATCTTTAAGATTCTCCCAGAAAAACCATCACGGGCACCGTTGTGATCACAGTTGAAGACGTCAATGACAACTGCCCCACACTGGTCGACCCAGTGCAGAATATCTGTGATGACGTGAAGTCTGTGAATGTGACAGCGGAGGACCGGGATGGGTACCCATACAGTGGCCCCTTCACTTTTGTCATCGTTGACGAGCCAGCTGGAACAGCAGACAGATGGGAAATAGCACACAAAGAAAGTAAGCCGAATCATTGGACTGCGCATTTAAATCTTAAACATGATGAATCTAAAATCTCTATAATAGAAGCTGTTGCATTGGATATATAACATATACATACACACACACACACACATATATGTATGTATGTGTATATATATGCATATATTTTCAAATGGGTTTATATTTATTTATTTATTTTAAACTCCCCCGAGGATACTTTTCCATTCTTTTGTTCAGATAGAGTGGGAGGGAGAGAGAGGAAGAGAGAGAGAGAGAGAAACCTCGACGTGAAAGGGACACATCGAGTGGCTGCCACCCGCACGACCAACCAGGGCTGGGGACAAACTGCAACTGAGGTACATGCCCTTAGCAGGAACCGAACCCGGGTCTCTCTGGACCACAGGCCGACTCTCTAACCGCTGAGCCAAACCTGCCAGGGCCAAATGGGTTTATAAAATGAGGTTTTGAACCTCCGGCATAGTGTCTTTTATCTGGCTATAACAAGTATCCCATTTGGAACAATAAAAGAGGGAGAGAAGAAAAATAACCTAATGTCTTAATGACAGCTGGGCATTCTCTAAACTGCTCTTGAAGATGTTTTGTCTCAATCTGAGGAGTACCTTGCCTGTCTAAGCAAACAATCAGAGTAGGTACCTTCTAAAAATCTTTAAGTATGGTAACAGTTTCATGAAAATAACATTTATTAATCACTTGGCATGTGCCAAGCACTCTGCTGGCCCTTCATACATATTATCTTATTTAATCCTTACTCCATAACATTATTCCTCATTCCAGCTGAGGAAACCTTGACTTAACTAGGGTCCAGGAGCTTGTTCAAGGTCACAAAGCTGGTGAGTGATGGACACAACATGAGGAAAGGTCTGTCTGACCCCTCCATGCGATGGCCATGTGCATTGATCCGTATCTTGGACACATCCGTCTTCTTCATGTGAGCTTATGAATGCCTTCCAGGGTGGTTTTGAATGTACAGAAACCTATCCAGAAGACTCTTTTTTCCCTAAAGAATTAGTCATTTCCAAAAAGTTTCAAACGTAATACCCACATTTTTCTGAATTTAAAGGTTTATTGTTACTTTAAGAGTAACACAATTTTAGTCACTTTAAAAGGCTTTCGATATGTTAAAGCTGGTGATGCTGTTCTGTCTGTTATTGTCTGTTTGAAATTGCCTTGATCAGTGTTTTTAAGATATGATAAAATAAAGGTCATTCAAAGGAAATGTCCTTTAACTTACCACTTTTTTGTCACTACTTTCCCAGTACATAAAACAGTTTAGAGAATTCAGCAAACCACGTACATTTGTTAAGATTAATCATTGTGCCTTGGCCAGTGTGGCTCAGTTGACTGGGCACCACCCAGTGCACCAAGAGGTTGCCAGTGTGATTCCCAGTTAGGGCGCATGCCCAGGTTGTGAGCTTGATCCCCGGTAGGGGGGTATCCTGTAGGCAGTTCATCAATGTTTTGCTCTCACATCGATGTTTCTTTCTCTCTCTCTCTCTCTTTCTCCTCTCTCCCCTCCCCCTTCTCCCCCTTCCTTCCCCTCCCTCTCCTTCTCCCTTCCAATCTCCAAAAGTCAATTTAAAAGAATTTTTTTTAAAGATTAATCATAGTAAAAGTAAGCCATGTGCAAATCCTATTCTTTGCTATTTACCCATGTTATTTGGAGTGTCTAGACTAATTTTATCCAGCTGAGAGTGAATTTAATAGAGCAGTTAAGCAGCTTTCAACCAGTGCCTGTGGGACGGGGCCATGAGCGGCCCCTTCGTGTGTGCCACACTGCAGGGCAGGGAGCACTACTGAGTGGCCAGCACATCCAGTCTGGGCCGGTCCCCAGCCTGCTCATGCGCCCCAGTTGGGAAGGCCCCTCTTTCCCTGGAAGCAGACTCTGGTGGCTGTGAAGCCAGGTGCAGCGCCCTGGTGACTTAGTGGAGATGTGATGCTGCATTTTGAGAGGAGGGGCCTCAAGCTGGTGGGGATGAAGATGCCTCAGATCTGGGAAGGCCCCAATGTGGTCTGCACCTTAGGGGCCATCGTAGGACACCGACTCAGCTGAGGCTGCCCCCATACCAGGTGAGGAGACCAGCAGCCACATCAGCAGAAATGGTATCCATGCCAGCACCTCCATGGACAGGGCCCAGAGGGAGATTCAGCTGTGGTTCCAGAGTCCTGGGCTGGTGGACTGGGCAGATGGAGGCCACTGCTGCAGCCTCTCCCAGCCTGACCTCAGGCTGCCCTCAGCTGCCCCAGCATCCACCCAGGACCAACTGCCACAAGGACTTGAGCCCACTCCTGTGCTCTGTCGTGCCCCAGACCGCCTCCCTGTTCACCTCTGCCCCGGCCCGGAGAGTTGAGCCAACCTGATGTGCCTTTAGGTAGCCCAAACCAGCGAGAGATTGGACCAAATACTTTCCATATCAAAATGCCAGACCACCTTTGGGGCGTCTCCAAAAGTGGGTAGTTTAACGTCCCCAAAAATGGAAAAAAAAAAAAAAAAATAGAGCCGCTAAGGAAGAAAGCTTCTAACTGTAGCTAAATATTTTTAGCCATTAAAGAATGTTTCTGTAATTTAATCTTGTCCCTTCCTTGGTATTCACTCCTTGTTGCTTCCTGTTGCCTCTTCCCGTCGCAGGTACCAGTGTGCTCCTGCAGCAAAGGGAACGAAAGCTCGGGAGGAGTGAGATCCAGTTTCTGATTTCTGACAACCAAGGCTTCAGCTGCCCTGAGAAGCAGATCCTTAAACTCACGGTTTGCAAGTGTCTGGATGGCAGCGGCTGTGTGGAAGCGCTGGGTGCCGGCTACGTGGGCCTGGGGCCCGCAGCCATTGCGCTGATGATTTTGGCTTTTCTGCTCTTGCTCCGTGAGTGTTTTTAAACCACTCTTTGGCTCCTTTAGTAATTAAGGCACTACTAGTGTTTTGTTACCAGAGTGGCCACTGATTTATTTACAGTTATTCCTTACCTCACTAGAATACTCAAGGGTGAGTAGAGAGATAAGAATTGATCATTGATAAATTCACCAAAGAGTATGATAGCACTCCTCAGAACTTCATTGTATAAAAATGTATCATTTCCTCCCTGGCCGGTTTGGCTCAGTGGATTGAGCGTCATCCCATGGACTGAGAGGTCCCGGTTCGATTCCCGGTCAGGGCACATGCCTGGGTTGCAGGCTCAATCCCCAGTGGGGGGTGTGCAGGAGGCAGCTGATCAGTTTCTCACATCGATGTTTCTGTCTCTCTCTCTCTCCCTTCTCTCTAAAAATCAATAAAACATATTTTAAAAAAATAGGGTTGTAAATAAGTAAAGACTGAACTCCAGGAAGTGATATATGCAAATTCCAAAATTATAGGACACAAATTTTAAAATGAATTGGAACTAACCTTTTTTTGTGCTTAATTTTGTTTCTGTTCAGTTGTGCCACTTTTACTGCTGATGTGCCATTGTGGGAACAGCGCCAAAGGCTTTGCCCCCATTCCTGGCACAATAGAGATGCTGCATCCTTGGAATAATGAAGGGGCACCGCCTGAAGACAAGGTCAGATCATCAGATGTCCATGGAACTTGCCTTTTTTCTGATTGTAAAGGGCCTGTGGGAAGTGTTTCTAACATTTTCGGTCATGAGAGAGTCAAGTGGTCCTTACAGATTTCATTGCATGCCTTTGAATGAAACATATTTTTGTGTTTGTTGCCAGGGCAGAGGTGAGGTGGTTTTACTCTACTGTTACAGGTCCTGTGTTACAGAGAATGTAGAAAAAGGGTCAGATAGTGACACAGGGAATGTAGAACAAAGGTTAGGGAGAGCAAGAGTGTGTAGAGATTTAGGATGAAAATGTTTAGTACTACCAATATTAAATGTGCAGTTTTCCCAACCAGGTGTTTCTGCATTTCCATTTCCCTCGATACATAGGATTGGCAGAGAGAAGCCCACCACCCATAACAGTTGTAAAAGATTGCAAATCCCCTTTTCTACCTATTTAGCAATCATCTTCTATTGTCTCTATTACATCTTCACCCCGGGTCTCTCATCACCATCTGCAGGGAGCATCATGTCTAAAAGGATATGATTTAGCATCAAGCATCAGAGAACTTAGAATAACAGAGACTTAAATATAAATGTGGGCGGTCCAGGACCAACATGATGACTCCATATGGCCGAAGACTCCTTTTTTCTTGTTGTTCCTCCACAGATGAGTTACATTCCCCACTGTCTTCATGCTCCAGGCACTAGCTGCTGTCCCCACAGTCCCAAAAGCAGATAGGAGAAAAATGAAGAACCACTCTTAAAGAACACTTCCCAAAATAGGCATACTCCATTTCTGCTTGAAATCACATTAACCAGAACTTAGGCCCCTGGCAGTTCCTAGTAGCAATGGAGGCTTAAACATACAGCCTACATTTGGGATGATCATATGTCCAGTTAGACAAAAAATAATGGTTCTATAACCATAAAGAAGGCATAAAACCTTAGAGGAAAGTTGAAATCCAAATGATGCCAATAGAGTAAATGAGCCAAGACCATGTTTAAATTACTTCTGTTGTCTCCTTGGATTATAATCATCTAACAAAACAAGAAGGTAGAAGGGAGCTCTTCAGAAGACTCAAAGAGAAGTTATTCAACCCCCAATTTTTTTTTTTTTAATTTGCTTCTGTGGAAATAGCTTATGCCCTTTATATGCCCACTTTGCTCAACGCCTACCAACCGTATTGGCCCTTCATCCTTGTGACTCAGTGCTCGACTGTGTTTGCTTCCACAGGTGGTGCCATCGCTTCTGACCACGGATCACAGAGAGAGTGTAGCAGTGGGCGGTGGAGTGGGAGGCGCAGCCATCCGGGAGGCCACTGTGAAAGGAAGCAGCTCTGCTTCCTTTACCAAAGTGCAGCATGACATGTCTGAGGTGGATGGAAGATGGGAAGAACACAGAAGCCATCTCTCTGGGGGCGCCACCCAGGTTACAGGGACAGCAGGAGCCGTCCTAGGCGGTGAAACCATGAGGACCACCCGAGCCACGGGGACTTTCAGAGACATGGCCGGAGCTCGAGCAGCTGCTGGTGCAGTGAGTGAGGAATTCCTACGAAGTTATTTCAGTGAGGTAAGCGTCGGTTTTCAGGTATGGGGGCAAAACGTTTATATGTAAATGTGGTATTATTAGGGTAGTTACTGCCTTGGATCTAGACGGGACTTCAGTTTTGTTTGTTTTTTAAGAGAATGCTTACAGGTAATGAGGGAAGAGAGACATGACTCATAAAATTACATGGTGATCACAAATGATGCCACAGTCTTACTTCTCACAAAGAATATTTCTCACATTTATGTTTTTTTTTAATATTTTATTTATTTTTTTAATCCTCGCCTGAGGATATTTTTCCATTTATCTTCAGATAGAGTGTGTGGGGGGGGGGGGGGGAGAGAAAGAGAGAGAGAGAGAGAGAGACAAACATCGATGTGAGAGAGACACATTGACTGGTTGCCTCTCGTATGACCTGACCAGGGCCGGCAGGGGGCGGGAGACAAACCGCAACCAAGGTACGTGCCCTTGACCAGAACTGAACCTGCAACTCATTGGTTCGCAGACCGACGCTCTAACCACTGAGCCAAACCGGCCAGGGCTCACATTTATGTTTATGCCAGTTATATCATGTCTGCTCTTCTCCATGATGTCTTCATTCCAAGATGCCAAGAGAGTAGATTGTACCTCAGAAGCTGCCATTTTGGGGTGCAGGGAACATAGCAATGCAGAACAAGCCCATGGCTCCTAAAGCCGCTGCTGTTTTTTGCACTCAGATGTCATTGGCCAGAGCAAGTCACATGACCAAGCCAGGTGTCAGTGGGTCAGAAAGTGCAGTCCCTCTGCAGGAGCAGACCTGAGAATGTGTGACGCAAAAATCATCATCTATGATGTCCATTTAAATTTTGTCTTCTGAGCCCTGGCCGGTTTGGCTCAGCGGTTAGAGCGTCGGCCTGTGGTCCGGAGAGACCCGGGTTCGGTTCCCGCTAAGGGCACGTACTTCGGTTGCAGTTTGTCCCCGGCCCTGGTTGGTCGTGTGGGTGGCAGCCACTCGATGTGTCCCTTCACATAGATATTTCTCTCTCTCTGTTCCTCTCTCTCCCTCCCACTCTATCTGTACAAAAATTGGAAAAATGTCCTCAGGTGAGGATAAAAAAAATAAATAATAAAATAAATTTTGTGTTCTGAATGAGAGTACTTGGCTTCACTATTGAGGAGGTTCCCAAAGATCAGGAGGAAAGTTACAGGAAAGATGATCGGATACAGTCAGGAAGCTCATGTCAGGAATTAGAATTAGAAGCAAGGCTGAGTGCCTTTCTTGAGAATGAAGCCCTTGTGTCCCATGGGCAGAGGCCTCCGGAGTGTCAGGTGTCTGAAGGACACTTAAGAGAAGTGAGGCAATGAGCTTCCGTAGAGGCCAATTTATTTCTGTTTGCTCTCTTCTAAATGGTTACAGATCACAAGTGCTTTCCCATTTTCTCTTTCCTTCCATACTCCCTTCTTGCATATCATCTAGCCACCAGAAGTATTAGTGTGACAGGGAGATGGGGTTATGTCAGTGCCAAAGACTTTCACTGCCAAGCTCCATCCTGTACCTTGTTTGTCTTATTTTGATGTTTTTCCTCTCTGCTCTAATCTTGCCCTAGTCGGTCCTGGTTGTGTCTGTGTGTGCGACTGAATTCGGAAAGCATTTCAAACTGATCAGAAAATTTGCAGGAGTATTAGAAATTTTGAACTCCTGTATACTCTTTACCAAGATTACCCAATTATTAACACCTAGCCACATCTGTCCCATTCTCTCTCTCTCTCTTCTCTCTCTCTCTCTCTCTCTCATGCACATGTTCTCTTACATTACCACAGCACAGTGAACAAATTTAGAGATTTAACAATGACACATTCCAAATTTCAATTTAGCCAGTTATCACAATGATGTCTTTTCTAGCCATTGCTTTTCTCATCCAGGACCCAATCTTACCGTTCACAATATTGATATTTTTAAGGATACTGGCCATTTGTGTTGTAGGGTGTCCTTCATTTGGGGTTTCTTTGATGTTTCCTTGCGATTAGACTCAGGTTATGCTTTTGGGCAGGAATATAGTCTTGTTCTTAAAAGAAGCCGTGTCACTAACTACATGCCTCTGTTTTCATTTCTGTTTTAGAAAGCTGCCTGTTATATCGAGGAAGATGACAACCTCATCAGCAAAGACTGCCTTCTGGTTTATTCTCAGGAAGAAACTGAATCTCCACATGGTTCTATTGGCTGTTGCAGCTTCATTGAAGGGGAGCTAGGTGACCACTTCTTGGATGATTTAGGATTTAAATTTAAGACACTAGCTGAAATTTGCTTGGGTCAAACAATAGAGATGGATATGGAAATCGAGCAGAGGCCAACGTCCATGAGAGGAGCAGCTTCACATTCCCTCTCTGAGCAGGCTAGGGTTGACTCAGAGGTCACCCTCTCTTCTGGTAGTAGCTTTCAAGTTGCAAAACCTTTGCCTGAAGTAACTGCAGAGAAAATAACTCAGGAAATAGTCACAGAAAGGTCTGTGTCTTCTAAGCAGGGTCAAAAGGTAGCCACACGGCTCCCTAATTCATTGGCTTCTGGTAATGTCATAGTGACAGAAACTTCCTTTGCCACAGGCTCCACTGTGCCACCACCAAGCACTGTGATCCTGGGCCCTCAACAGCCACAGGGCGTTATTGTGACGGAGCGGGTATATGCTCCAGCTTCTACTTTGGTAGATCAGCATTACGCTAACGAAGGTAACGTCACCGTTACTGAGAGAGTCATACAGCCTAATGGGGGCCTGTCTTGTCCTCTGGAAGTCACTCCGCATCTGCCAGATGGACACTATGTCATGGTGAGGGAAAGAGAGAGCTTCCTTGCCCCCAGTGCGGGTGTGCAGCCCACTCTGGCCAGGCCCAGTGTAGCCGTAGGACAGAACATGACAGTGACAGAGAGAGTGCTAACACCTGCTTCCACTTTGCAGTCCAGCTACCCCGTTCCTGCTGAAACCTCCATGACAGGCAGAAAGACTGTGGTTTCTGGAGCTGGAGCCCCGGGCCCTCTGCCAAATTTTGGTTTAGAGGAGTCTGGTCATTCTAGCTCTATGGTAACCACATCATCCACCAGAGTCTCCAAGCATAGCACAGTACAGCATTCTTACTCCTAAACAGTAAGCCACAATCTGGCCCAGGGTTTAGCTAGCAGTAACTGATTTCATGTTTTCAATGGACCTGCCTGGTCATAAGCCTTATGGATGTATGAGGCACATACACAGAATTAACATTCTTCTCGGTCACTAATAGACAGCGGACCTTGCTGTCTCAGCATCCAGGAGTGCACTTGCAAAGTGCACCGGGTTTTACCTACGGCCCAGCCATGAGGCGGCGTCTTAAGTGCCTTTGGGTGAGTGTGGCCAAACACTATTCACAAAGTAAGTTAAATAGAGAGTAAATCTGGCTTTTGAGAATTTACCAAATTGACACAGAGTATCCAGTTCATCGGCCGTGCAGTAGAGCCACCAATGAAACCCACTGTTCCTCTGCACAGCGTTAACATTTCACATCGCTGTTCCCTAGTCCGAACTGGACTGCACCTGGCAGATTATCAACACTCATTTATCCAAAGATGCATACACAGCTTTGGGGGACCAGTTTTGTTTGTTTTCCTTAAGACTAGAGGCCTTTCCATCTGCGTTAGGGTGATGGAATTTTGCAGCATTGACATGGTAAAAACACATGTTTCTGTGCATGTAACTGTGTGTATGTGTATGATTGTGTGTGTGTGTGTGTGTGTGGTATGACCTTAAAAAATAGCATTATACCTTCCTTTTGTCTCTCCATAATCATGAAAATATTTAATATTTCCAATTTAATTGAATAATCTAGAAAAAAATTCATAAGTATAAAATCATTTTTGTAGTAATATACTATTTATAAAACTTCAGGCTATATTATCTTCTAATTTTGTACAGCTAAATTACCACTAGACTATATAGAAAAAAACATGCCTATTTTAGTTCTATTATTTATCTTCAGTACCCAGCATGGCTGCCTAACCAATACGTGTGGCATTTTAGAAACCTCTCTTTAACTTAACAGTTTCAAAATATTGAAAGACCTTATAATTTCTACACTTATGAGTTTGAAATTATTTTATTCTATGTCTCAAAGTCATTGACTAGCTGATCATGACTTACAATGTATTAAATATGTAATTGACATGAATTTGTATAACATCCTTGCCCTTTTTTGAAAAGTGAGTTAGGTGTTTTGACCAAATAAGTAGGTTGTATTTTTACTGCTTTTTGGGAAAAAAAAAATCCATTTCAAGTTTTTAAGTATATGTGCATATCAGTAACAATTTATATACTCCAGAACAAAAAATAATTTTCATAAATTTTAAATATTATGGTGTAATTTTGTGATTTTTTTTAAAGATATTTTGCTTAGGGAAATGAATCTTTAAAAATTTATTTTTGTAGCACATTTATAGAAGAAATATTGTTGACTTGAATTATGTTATGCAAAAGACTGATACTCTTTGTTCCACTGACTGTACGAGTAAAAGGCAAATATTTTTAGATACTGTAAGTCCATGGCCAAGGTGAAGGTCATTCTTCCATGATCTAAATTTTTTATTCTCTACTTAGTGTTGTTGCTTTACTTTTTTTCATTATAGATTTAGTAGTTATATTTTGCCAAGTATGCAACAGGAATACCACTACTGTGTGAAATGTAAAAATGACCTCAGTGCCTCAAACAAACAAAACTTGGTCTTAAACGTCCTCCTTGGGCAGATTGAAAACCCTCGCCTGTCACCTGTGTTTAGTGCAGTCACATTTTCTAAATGCTTTTCTTTGTTCCCAAAGGGTGATTTGTATTAGTTTTTACATTTGTTCCTTGGAAGACTATATTTGTATGTGTATCATCAAAATATTTAAATAAAAAATGACCTTTGGAGCAACTCCTTGCCCATATCTTTTTAATACTTCATTATATTTTACAAGGAATGGAGCTGGTGGTTAGAGGAGATAGCACCCTGAAGGCAGGTCCTTGTTGGGTATTATAATTATAACTGCTCACATCCAGCTCAGCCAGCCCCCTTGGAAGACAGAACGCAAGAAGGCCCAATTAAATGTGTATTTCATATCAATAATGAATAGGATTTTTATTTATTTTATTTTACTTACTGGTTTTTAGAGAGAGAAACATCGATTTGTTGTTCCACTTACTTATGCATTCATTGGTTGATTCTTGTATGTGCCCTGACTGGGGATCAAACCCACAACCTTGGCATGTCGTTACTACACTCTAAACAACAGAGCTACCCAGCCAGGGCCAATAGCCTTTTTAGTGTGAGTATGTCCCTTAGTAAAAAATTATCTGTTATCTGAAATTCAAATGTAACTGGGTACTCTATTGCCATTTGCCACGTCTGGCAACTTTGTTCCTAAGGGACCGAAGTTGGCTTTCTGCCCAGAAAGTAACATAAGGAGGTGAACCTGTTGGGTTGACTGAAGAAGGCCTTTATGTCTGACCTAAAGGGATGAAATTCAGCCAACGTTCAGAGGCTGTTTTAGTTGCTTGTTATAGTTTACAAGGGAAAAGATCAAAGTTTTTGCCGATACTATAATGTCACATTAATAAATATTTTATAACACTGGCACATCAAAACATCCTAAAGCATGAAGATTGTGTTCTATGTCTGTGACCCCAGGACTCCCACCCCAAGTGGCCCATGAGAGCAATTTTTGGTTGATTTGATGAATCTGCAGACCACATTCCATCATCACTGCATCAAAATTTATACAAGGAAATATTGCCTACCAAGTATCACTTAGAAATGAGGTTTCAGATAACAACTATCAGATCATTAAATCTTAACTTCTTTAACATACCAAAAATCCTTGGTTTCACTATTTTAGTGCAGTTCAAATCCTCTCTATCATTACTGATTATTTTGTCTACTTTTTTTTTTTTTTTAAGAGGGAGGCTAAAATCTCCAACTGAATGTGGCTATGCCCATTTCCTTCTCATTCTTTCTACTCCTGCTTCCTATATTTTGAAACTTATTATACCTGTGTTAGTAGCTACAAACACATTTAGCATTATTGTGTCTCCCCCTACAAAAAACTTGACCTTTCTATCACTATGTAATGTTTCCATCTCTGGTTATTACTGTTCTTTCTGTTGAAATCTGCTAACACATTAATATCCCCACACCAGCTTTCTTGCGCTTAGTGTTTGCAGAGTGTATCTTTGATCCTTTCACTCTCAACCTGGCCAAGCCTTTATAATGTGTGTCCTGGAAATATGTAGGTAGGTCTTGCTTTCTTATTCATGACATTTAATGGGAGGTTTTCATCTACAGCAGTTATTCCTGTGGATGAGTTTTAAGTCTCCCGTCTTAGAATTTGTGTCCTCTTGGTCCCATCGGTTCCTTAGTTTCTGCTCCTTTCTGTCTTCCTTTGTGTGTGGCATGTGCTAGGATATTCCACTATAGCTCCTCTTACTGACCTTTTAACTATACCTCCTTGTGTTTATTATTTTTTTAACTGGTTGTTCTGGTTTTGGAAATGCAGTGAAGAACAAAATCTCTTGCCCACCTAGAAAAACTACACAAAAGTAGAAGAGAAAGAAAACAATGTATTATTAAAGAAACATTAAGCCAGAATGATACGTGCATAACAGGCAGCCCATAAAGAAATTGCAAAGACAAAAACCTCACCTTTTTCCGTGGCCAGGCAGATACAACCCATTACATACATGTTCTCAAGATAATGAGAACTTGTCCTGAGCAAGACTTGCCAGCACCATAGCTCATCTTAAATTCACCTGGTCATTGAGGTGGCCTTTGTGTTTGCTGAATGCCTTTATCCAAAGAAATAATGAAACTTCTAATATCTCTATGACAGGAGGCTACAGTTTGGAGCCAGGCACCCATGGAGAAGAGAGGGATGCTGTCTTTCCTGTTGTTCAAAGAGACAGGCCCTAGGTCCTTGAGAAAGACATTCCTACTTGAGCAGCGGGCAGTTTTAAAAAATGGCCCCACCTGGCTAGTGTGGCTCAATGGTTGAGCATTGACCCATGCACCAAGAGGTCTCTGGTTCGATTCCTGGTCAGGGCACATGCCCAGGTTGTGGGCCAAATCCCCAGTGGGGGGCATGCAGGAGGCAGCCAATCGATGTTCTCTCTCATTGATGTTTCTATCTCTCCCTCTTCCTTCCACCCTAAAATCAATGAAGAAAAAAAAAATTAAATAAAAAGAAGTCCCTACCATCTGAACCAGGCAGAGGAAGAATGAACAATGACCAGTTTTCGAAAGTAAATGTGCTAAGACGGGAGAGGGGAGGGAAATTCTCCCTTTTTGCACCAGGAGAAAAAAAACAAAACAATTTTTCTACTTTAGATTTGTCTTTATACTCTAGAGCGGCGTTTGTCAACCGGTTTATCACATGGCACATATAACTAATTACTGAAATTCTGTAGCACACCAATAAATATAAATTTTATAGATCTGCAACAACAAAAAATAGATACAGTTTTGATTCGTTCACACTGGACAGCTGTTGTGGTGGCTATTGTGTTTTTTTTTTTTCTTTTTGACACTCTAAGGGAAAAGAGGTCAGTGCTCCTGGCTAAATAGTCAGGCATTGCACGTTTTAAAAACTTGCGGCACACCGGTTGAAAATCACTGCTCTTGGGCTGTGCCCTCTACGTGGCAAGTGGCTTCCAACTGGATAGCACCATCTCTCTCATTATGGAAAGGGTTCTGTCGGCAGCACAGCTGCAGGAATTATACTATACATCGTTACTATCACAGTCTACCTTCGCGTGTTCTACTGCTTCACCAAAAGTGTCCATCAATCTTGAGCTTCTACGTTGTGGCTCTTGCTATGTCATCAGATCTCTGACCGTCACACCCACATTCTAGACGAGCAGCCCTCCGACGTTGCCTCCCTCTCTCCAGCACGCCCACCCCGTGGGCTGCCGTGCATTGTTGGCATCAATATTCTGAAACCTTTGTCCAGTCCAATGTGAGTAGAAATATAACTGACCCTCCACCAACCCAGGAGCCAAGTTGAGAAAATGAGATAAGGAATGTATACCTCTGCTAAAAATCTGGATATATTCTGAGCTACAGATTTTCCATTTGCCTCTTATACACTCTCTACCTTTCTTCACCTGCTCTAAGACCCAGGGGCTAACCCTCTAGGGATACTCCACCAGGCATCCTTGCCCTCGGGCTTCTTAGGCTTGGCCAGTGGGAGGCACTGGCCAGAGGTTGGCGAGAAAGAAAAATGAGGTCAGGGCA